CCTGCAGCCGGGGACGCGTGACAAGGCAGGAGACAAACGCAGCGAGGTGGCGGCGCACCAGGAGACCCGGCCACGCTGTGGGGCGCCGGTGGCCAACGCTGGCAGCCCAGGTAGCGCCCAACCTTCTGCAAGCACCGAGGCAAAGGAGGAGCTTCGCAAGGGACTGACGGACGCTAAGCGTGCAGCCTTGCGGCGCCTGCAGAGCGCTCCTGCCTGGTGGGACGGCAGTGGCTGAACTGTGCCCGGAGGTAATCCCCTCCTTTGGGGAATCTGAACGCTTTAAATCTCGTGGTGGAGAGTTAGCAGAAGGGAGATGCACCTTAAAAATGTGCCTTCCCATCGATTCCCCTGTCAATGCTGCCGGGTGCCGGGGACAGACCCAGGGGTCAACGTGGCTTGTCCTAGGGCAGACCGACCTGGCCTCACGCTGCACCGGTGGCAATGCCGGTGGGCTGTTTCCGTGGTGGAGACCCTCGTGCAAACAGTCCGACGGGCTGCAAGGGGCGTCCGTACGGTTTAGAGCCCGTTTCAGCGAGCTGTTGTTCTCTTTGCGCTCACAAGAAAACCTATTCAACATGTTCATCTTTCCAGCTCACATTCTTCTTACGCTTCATGTCGCCGGCAGCCACTTTCGCATCGGCAAGCCTGGCCATGCACGCAATATGGAAAGCGGCGTTTGTTAAGCACAGTCACCTCAGGATCTAAAACAACGCCTGTGAGCTTGGCTACGCTACAGCCGCTCACGCGCCCATCAGTCCTGATGGCAGATCTTTAAAAAAGCAAAGGCCAATTACATCGCTTCGGAGTTTGTAATGAACCTAAAACCGTTTGATCGCTCCAGCTCCTGCTGCGTGACCGCCGCAGAGGACGAGCCGCCGGGCCGCGGTGGCCGTGGCAGCAGCCCTCCGTCAGCGTATCTAAAGGCATTAAAACCTCCTTGCCACCTTAGCGAACAAACTGACTCGAAGCTGCGGTTAAGACCTGAACACGATGGACGCGCTGCTCCGGATTACAAAGCTGCCGGGATGCGAAGCTGCTGCGCTGCTCCACCCTGCACGGCGGTATCGCTACCAACCACTGTAAACCCACAGACACGTGCTGTAATCCCAGGGATTGCCGTTAATTACAGTCGCTTGCAAATGGGATTGCTTGGCTCAGGGGCTGCTGGTGGGATTTCAATAGCCAGTGTTACGGGAGAAGTAAAACTTGGTGCAAAAAGGAGAGCAAGAGAAGCATGTGTCGGGCTACTGGTTGTGGCTGGGCCTGAGCTAAGTGCCCTGGAGAGAGGTGGCAGCAAACCCCCGGGACATCCGGGAACGTCCGTCTCTGTGCACGACAGGAGAGGCAGATGAACACGATAAAATGTCAGGAGAGGGAAAAGGCCCTGTCTCACGTAGCGACTGTTCCTCTATGCTACGTAACGCAAAAAGCTGCGTTTAGATTGGGATATCACAGCTACCGCCCGGGTTAAGAAATAATCCTATTTCTGGCAAAAGTCAGTCTCCATTGCCGCCAGTGCTGCCAAGCCTGGCTGGCCACGCTTCTGGCTATATAAACGAAAGGGGGGACACTCTCCTCCTCCCGGGCCAAAAGCCCCTCAAAGAGTCAGGCTGGGGGGGTGGAGGTGCTTGAGCACTCAAGCGCAGGGACCTCATCTTTGCGTATTCCTGATGACGTGCCAGGACACGGCTAGAGCTGTATGTGTGCATATTTACACATACACACACATATATATGCACATATAAAATTCAAACTATTTCTAAGGTAGCTAGCTGCAAGAGGTGCTTGTGCACGCAGGGGCACTTTGGAGCTGGAGCAGCCCACCAGCTGGCAAGGACAGGGCCAGCTCCACGTGTGAGCTGGGCCACCTCCAGCGTGACCTGTGCAAGGAACTAGAGACCGAGCTGGACTCACCAAGCACCTGATCTCTGCCGCTCGCTAATGCCAACCTTCCTGCTTGGGGAAAGCTCGGGGCACACCAGCACCGACACAGGCACCTACAAACCACGTTTCTACTTCCTTAAAGGTTTCTTGGGCTTCCTCATTCATAAATGAGCATTTAGCTGGAATGGGCCCACAGTTTCTGGGAATGCTATAAATTTGTGAGGGGGCAGAGGTGGAAACTGAGTCAGTCACGGCGGTCCCGGTGCAGGGCTGAGCCCAAAGCAAGCACTGCCCTTGCGGAGGGACAGCCCCTCTGGGACGTGCCTTGGGCATCACCCCAGGCTGGGCTGCTGTGCACGCAGGTACTTACTGCTCCCTCCAGGGCAGCTCTCCAGCAGGACCAACCATCCCTCTCCTCCTGCTGTTGGATACGGTTTGCACCCTATGACCCGCTGCTGCCTCTCCTCTGCTTTGGAGCCTCCAGTAGGTGACAGCTCACGGAGGAAAGTAAACCTAGGAAAAACCCATTGCTTGCATTTCCGCACGGGATGCCTTCTGGGTGAACAGCGGTGAATCGGACTATGTGCCAGGAGAGGGCACTCTCAGGAGCCTGCTGCCACCTTGCCAGGGTGGGAAACGGCGGATGGCCAGAGCAGCAGGGCTCGAGGCCGGGAGAGCTGGGCTTCGTACCACTCAGCGCAAATAAGTCACACACACAATGAAACGATGCATCAAAAAATAGTGTTTTTACTAGGGAGAAGAGAGCTGAGAAAGAAGAGAAAGAGAAAGAAGGTGAAGTCGTGAAGAAAGGCGACGTGGCCATCCAGCAGCAAACCTGCTGCGGAGTCAATGAGGACGTTTTCCCGTGCCTCCCCCTGGAGAAGGGGGTGTGCAGGAAGTGGTGGGTCACGGAGCACAGTTACACCACCAGCCCCTCCTCGCTACATCAGCAGGACAGCAGCTCAGCACAGACGTCCCCCAGCGCCAGCTAGCACAAAGCGCACGCTGGCCAGCGGCGCCCTGCGAAGCCCCGAGCCGGCTCTGCGCCTCATCTGCCTCCGTGGACATCTGCGCCACAGGGCTGCCGGTACATTTCCGGGACAAAAACCAGGTTGCACACAGATCTAGCCGACCAGCGATCTAGCCATCTTCTAATTTGAGGCATGCTAACTCAGAGCGTAATTTTCCCTCGACCTTTTTGCAGAGGTTTTCTTCACCCCAGCTTTTCTCTCTCTCACATTCAGTTTGCAGCCCCAGGAATTCCACTTTTGTAAAACCAAGTGGGAACAACCAAGTCTGGTGAAACAAAGCTTGCAACGTGATGGACCCAGCATTTGGGGAGCTACCAGATGGCCTAGCATACAAAACCTTCCCTCACTTCTATGGTAACCCAACGTATGGGTGATGGATACAGACCAGTGCTCTTCTTTTCATAGTGACCCATCTTCTCCACTTTGTCACAGACAAATCCCAGTTGTACGCGTTCTGCCTGAATAATTAAAAAACAAAAAACAAACAAAGATTCTCTCAGCTGGAACAGCATGTTTTGGACAGCAGACTATCCACAGCCTTCATAGGAAGGAGAATACCCAGTTAGTTCAGTAATCCTTCCTGTAAAAGTTTGAAGGAGTACTGCAGATCACTTTCCCCTTCCTCTTGCACAGCGATAAATGCCTGCAGGGCTTTTTGCGTAACAAACCCTTGGAGAGCCTGGCACAGAAAAAGGAACAGAATAGGAAGAATTTACAGATGAAAATGCCGCTGTCCACCAGAGAGCCTCTTGGAGCCCCCAACACTAACAGCTGTGTTAATCCGTTCAGTTACGATTACCGATGGCTGAATCTACAATATATTGAAGATTCACTTTAGACACACTTGAATCTGGACATAGTTGTTAATAATTAGTGCCAAGGGACCAGAATGGTAAAAGGCTTCAGAGCATGCTTTGGTACACGGCAACACACTTCAGCCAGATTTAATATTTTCTGCCTACGCTGGGTATTATAGAGAAGCAGATTGCTGGAAAAGTGAAAATTTGAGGAATTGCCTCCTTTCCCTGTAATCTTTTTTAATTTTCATGGCAAAACAGAATCTATTGAACATATTAAACACCTAACACCCTCCAATTTTCAACAGTTTTTCAGAGAAAGTGTTTGCAACTCACTGCTTGAAGCTCCTTCTCCAATACTGATTTGCTTTCGGGGTGTTTTTGGCTCAGGTGTGAGAAGTATGAAATAGAAAGTTTTCACGCTTGATCTGCGCAAATCTTTTTATTCCTGACCAAACTGACATAAAGAGTTAGAGCCCACGAAAGGCTGAAATAAGTCAGTCTCCAAACCTGTAAGCTCCACATCACACAAGCTCTGTTAAGAAATAGAGGGGTTTCAAGCAATCTGTGGTGATTCTCTTTTTACTTGCTTGGAACGCATCTAGGAAAAAACCCACTGAGTTTATTTGCGGGAGGAACAGCAGATTGTGTTCATGTGAAAGGTTTGCTGGCAATCCCTCCCCAGGCCAGACATGCTGGCAGCAGAGGATGCCGTCCTCACGTCTCGCCAGCCTTCCTGCACACCTTTGCACAGGGGCGCTCCTCTTCCACATCCTTCCAGCCTTCCTCGTGCAGAGAGCACCGTTCCTCCTGCCGCGTGCTAGAGGGCTGCGGCAAACTTTCCCACAGAGCAATAACCTGGCAGCCAGAGAAGGATCCGTCTCTGCTCTTTCCTGCCTCACTTCCGGGAAATACGGAGCCTTGGACACAGACTAGTTAACAACAAACGCAACATAGCTGTTCCCATACAAACCTTCGCAGTTGTCACAGAGGCCAAGTAAATGCAGGAATTGAGCAGCTGCTGACATGTTCTTTGGAAATAACAAGCCCAGGACTTCTATCACTGGTGTCTTCAATCACTGTTTAACTGTTCAAACATCGGAATTGCTGGAGATTTTTATGGTCTGATTAAAAAGCAGAACGATTCCCCTTATGGAGAAGTCTGCAGCTACAATTACCCTTCTGTTGCAACCTGCCAGAAGCAACTGAACATGTCTCCCTGCTAAAGGGCCAGGAGGTACTCTGCCCGCCTTGCACACGTGCTGACACAAGGCATGGTGGCACCTGCAGGCAGCAGGACAGGGCACAAGTCAGGGATGGTGCGGGGAAGGCTATGACTCACACAGTGACCAGCTCAGCTCTTACCTTGCCTTTGCAAACTCTGCAATCAACACCATCAACACAACCGAGAGCACGTTAAGGAGAGATGGCAGCCTGGGTTCCCAGATCGTCCCCATAACCAGTACAGTCTCAGGGCACTTACTGACCCTCCTGTGCAAGCCAGGTTCAATCCCACATCTCCCCAGATTTCCTACCTGCCTTGGTGCAAGTTAATCCAACTCTGAGCCTTCGTTCTCCATCCGCACAGCGAGGACGACAGCAACGTGTAACTTCACTGCACCACTTCGAGGTCAACCGTGCTAAAAAGTGTGACACCTCAGATACTGCAGTACTGAGGGGCAGCCTGGTACTCTGGACAGACAGCCCAACAGCCCCTTCCAACCCCCAATGCTGGAACTGGGCAGAAAGCAGTAGAGGCTTCTCACGAGGACCACGGGCCTCCGGGACCTGCTCCGCCACCCTGAGCCACTGCCGCAGGCAAAGGGTGCTCCCTGTTTCCCTGGCCTGCAGCTAGGCAGGAAGAGCAGGAGAGCGCAGTCAGAGAGAGGTTAACAAATTTGTTCTATTTACAGCAGGCAGAACGAACAGCGGTGTGAAGGAGCCCAAGTGACTTCATGTTACATTAACAAACGGACCAAATTATTTGTTAATGTATTTCTAGGAGACTGTCAAGGGCACCAACTCGTTGGGCACAGAGCAAGAAAAACCAGAAAACCAGGCAAAGCTACACTATTTGACTTGCAAAACTCATTCATGTAATAGCAAATTAACCAACAGATGGCACTAAGGGAAGCAACTCCTCCCTCAGTCTTCTGTGGCTTTCACAGCCGTCACGTCAGCTTTTCTTTCCCTGCCGTGCTGGGTTCACAGGGGCTGACTTACCCCTAACTCATTCTGGCTCTGAATAAGCAGCCAAAGAACCAAATCAAAAAAGGTATTTAAGTTCACTTTATTCAGTAGCAACTGTAGCTGTTCTTTTTATCTGCTTCGCTCCCTCTCTTTGTACAGACGTCACTCAGCCCACAGATGTTCAATAGCTGTAATGAAAATTGCATACAGGGCTAAGGTGTGCTGTTACTGTATTAGCTGGCCTGACCCATTCCTTCAGGCTCTCCCATGAAAGAGCTGTCCTTTGCCAGGGCTTTGTCTGACTGATCTCTGTCATTTGGGGTAATCACCGGTACCTGTTTGCTGGTAGGATGGAAGGGTGCAGAGAATTTTTAAGCATCTACTTTCAGCTGAGCAGCCCCATTACCATAGCACTGAAAAAGATTGTTGTCTGGACAGAGAAGTCATCACAGCAGCTGAATAACCTGTGGAGTGCGAGTGCAATCAGGCAACAGCAAAGGCACAGCTGACAGCCGCAATCAGCCCCGAGGACAGAGGCTGCATGGCAGCAATGCAACAGAAAGATCACTGAATGGCCGCTGGGCTCATGCACTATAGGATACTGCTGTGCATCTAGCCACAGAAAGGGAAAGGATGCAGGGAATCCACACCTTAAGGGGTGTAGCCTAGGAAACAGGCTAAGAAACAGCATGAACCCATGCGTGTGTCATCCTATCTCCTGCACCTGTGGTTCATTCACCTTTTGCCTGGCACACTTCAGACTTGCGGTAAGAGAGCACTCTTCACCAAAGGCATGATTAGGCACCGGCTTCCAGAGAGGTAAAGAGCCCAATGAAAAGGGCAAAGAAATTTCACATTTTTCTTAGAGATACAGCCACAGATTCATACGTTCACTGTATCAGATGCTCTTATTCTGCAACATCCTTTCTCCTCTACACTTTGCACAACATACAGCCCGTCCGCATCCCATTTTGTTTGCTAACCCCTACAGTAAGGGCTTTCTTCTAAACCTCCTGCCTGACTCCTTGTGGAGGATCTCGGGGCTGACTGTCAGCTCCGAGTACATAGCTGATGGGCTATTTCTATTACACACACTCTCACGGGCCTTCATTTTCACAAGTTATTTGGGGGGAAAACAGAGGATGACATTTGCTGTCGGGGAATGACTTGGAGCATAGAAACCACATTATCAATACCAAACAGCTGACTGAAGAGTTATTAACGAGTAAGAGGAATTCGTTGGTGGGCTGAGTGTCTCACCCAGGAAAAACACCCCCATATTAAAAAAACAGGTCTCAGGCACGGTGCAGCAGCTGTAGAAACACCAGGAGCCAGAGGAGCACGGACGTGGTGACGTCACACTGACGAACGACCATCTCCCAAGGGGAACTGCTGGTCACAAATACAGCAAGTGTTCATGTAAACAGGCCCCAAACATCACTTTCTGGAAAAGCTTCTCTTTTTGTTTTCTACGTTCTCTTCAGCTACAGACGATCCGACTAAATTTCTCATTATTATCTAGGGGAAATACAGTCTGAGCTCAGTGGAACAGTAAGGCTTTAAAAGCATTTATAAAAAAGAAAATACATAGCATGCAAATACTCACAGAAGAGGAGACAATAAGAACTTCCTATTCCAATAAGAGGAGCGGAAAAGAAGAGTTTGTTTAGGGGAGAGAAGAGGGGGCACCTCAGATCCAAGGAAGGGACTGAGTTTTGTAAGTGTGCGATAGGAAGAAAACTACACAGAGAATTAGGGTGCTTGCAACTCTTCCAGCCTCCCTGCCTTTGCTTGCACCAAGATCCATTCCAGCTGCAATGCTGTAGTTTAAGAGAAAAAAAACAAAAAACAACTTATGGCTGTTCTTACAAGCAAAGATGTGCCTTCACTCTCAGCTTCCTAGAAAAGCAGTGAACTGAGAACTATGTGCTCACTCTGTATCCAACAGTTTAGCACAAGCATCGCTATCTCAAATAGCCATGTCAAAGAGTGGGAAACAAAGGTGCTAAACGATGCCAGGAAGAACTGGTACATGTAACGCACCTGACTTCAGTGAGCACGGGTCATCTGGGAGACTGTCGCCGATTCCTTGGGCTCTTCTCTTTCCAATATAAGATACTGTTGAAAACAGTTATTAGTGGGCCTGGAAGAAGCAAAACACTAAGAGCCTAATCTAAAGAACAAAGTAACTGAGAATAATTTGATTAAGATAATATTTGAACATGAGCACCTATATTTTATAAGTGAAAAAGCTAGCTTTGCCCCAGAAAACCAGAAGCTTGCTGGTTTTCCATGTTCCTTCTTTCAAGGAGAAGGAAGGAAAAATACAACAAAAAAGGGAGAAACCACACTGGCATTTTCAAAGCATGTCTGTGGAGAATTTAAAATGTTTTCCTATTCTTTTGTTGCTCATTTAAGGTCTCACCTGTGCAAGGGGACAGCCATCAGCAGAGTCTGTCGTCACGTTCTGCGAGTCAGCGTACTTCAGCAGCCTGCACACGGTGCACCACGCAAGACCACAGCAGTAGTTTGTGGATGCCCAGTGTACGTGAAGAAAGTCGGTGAAGGTAAAAACGTTGCACACGCTCTGAGCCAAACCCAAGGGGAGCCAGTGGGGAGAAATGCAGAAGAAAGTAAATGAGGCTCCAGGGAAATTAAGGCAAAGTAGAAGTCCTGGCAGAGTAGGGTAATAATTCCCTTTCTGAATGAGTAACTGTTGAGAATTTAACCAGGTGAACACAATTAAACCAAATTAATAGAAACTCTAGGTGCAGTAGCAAGTAATGAAGTGAAGAAGATGAACAGAGCCTAATTAACAAGAAAGCAGGATATGCCATAATGCATTGAAGTCTAATGAAAAGTGAAGGCTGAACTTCCCCTCTCAAAATTTTTCCAGATGGAAAATACCAGTGTTTTACATCTTACGTCTTCCGAAACAGCCAGAGAATTACAGTTCCTGAGAAGAACTGTACTTACCGTTAAGAGCCCCAGCAGAAGCGGCGCACGGGGGAGAGGGGAGCTATTTCCGCACAGCTGCGGGGGCGCGGAGCGACGGCTGCTCGGGACTGCCCGAGCACAGCGGCAGAGGCGGCCGGCCGGGGGGAGCGCAGCGCGGCGGC